AAAACTCAATAATAATATCACCTCTCTCTTCTGCTTCATAATTGGCATGCAAACCCTAAATCCCACCATTGACTGTGTATAAGATTTAATTAATCTTTTTCCTCTTGCACTATTATCTTTTTTTTATTTGTATTTCTCACTAAATATAAATATGCAATTTTTTTATTTGAATTTTATAAGTGTCCAAATCGTCTAATGCTCCACTATAGCTAGCTGTGGAAATTTCTTCAATGCTTGAAAATTCATACTTAAATGACATTTTTATACAAATACAGTTCAATCATTTCTCTGCAGCCATATGAAACCATTGGATTTATGTGTAGGGTACAACGAAAAGTAGAGTTGTGATTTGGTGTTATAATCTTGTGCCTATATTTTTTTGCAATTGTTGGATAAAATCAATTATCTTTATAGTGCCACGTGGGGACACTGATCACTGGGTGAAAGGATTTGGACAATTCATCAAATCCGGATCTTTTTTTTTTTTTTTGATGATAATGACAAATCTAGATCATATGCGATTTCTAGTTAGAATGTATAAAGGGGGCAAATGAACATAAAAAAAAAAAAAATAAAAGAGAAAATGAGAAAATTCCCAGGACATGAAATTCGATTTGATGAAGCTTTACACATTTTGTTCCACCACGTTAGCTAGCTAATAAGCTAGCTGCAGGTGAATATTCTCTGCTTGAAGTGATGAAGAAAATAAAGTTTGAATTGGTTCTGATTAAATCTACGATTTTTCTTTCTGGTCTTGTCAGACTTCCAGCCTTTGAACTTTATACAATATATGTTAACATTTTGAATTGGAAAATAAGACAGTATCAATAATTATTATCAATATCCTCATAAACAAGTGGGGGCGTGTGTGTGTATTATATTGCTGTACAAGTAGAAAATGTATAAGATGCTTCGAAAAGAAAGCCAATCAAAGAGAAATCGAAAGAGATAGGTTTAATCACTTTGCAGAGAACCCACAAATGATTCTTCGGAAGCATCTGAATCCTAATTGCGTGCAGCAAATAATATTCATTTTTCATGATTCCATATGAGCAATGTGATATATATTAATTTAATTTTTGATGAAAAAAATGATTATATATATCCCACCGATCCAAAATATAAGCCGTTTTATTTCAACTAATTTTGATTCAAAAAATATAAAACAACTTGATATTTGTATAATTTTTTTTGTTGTACTTATTATATTCACTGTGAATTCATGATTTTTTTCACTTATTATTAAAATTGAAATTAAAGATAAAAAACAATATATATATATATATATCTTTAAAAAAAGATTTTATTAATGTGTGAATTGTTGTTAAAAGTTGTTAGCAGAGGGGGAGTATACTTTACACCAAATGTTTGCGATTGAATGTATTCAGTCAAATTAATCTTATCTTTCTCATTTAATGTCAGGCCATTGAGATCATTTTTCAATTTAGTAGTGTTATATAGATAGATAGATAGATATTTTCTTTATTCTTTTCTTACCTTGCAAGTTTAAGATTATATCTGACAAGATCAATCATGCATGTGTTATAAATGTGCCAGATTTTAGATTCAAAGATGAGAACCTCTTGATGGATAAACTCTCCAATATTATATTCTACTATTTCAAAAAAAAAAAAAATCATGAATTAGTCATATGCAAAATGTAATATAAAATATTTTATGTTAAAATTGAACACATTAACCAAAAAAACCCCATTGTAATCATTTTACCAAAGAATTCGATTTCACTAATTTTGGTGGCAGAATTAGTTCCTTAAAAAGAATTGTGTCATCCTTAATTCATCTTAAACATTGTATTATCATAAAATAAATAAGTACTGTATCATTACTAATTTTACTTGAAACCGATTCTTGGTTAAATTTAAAAGAATTAAATTAACCATGATTTAAAATTAAGTAATTTTTTTTATTAAAACATAGATTAATTTATATGACATACACACAATTTTTGTATGTAATGCTATATCACTAAGTTGCAATTTGAGTCCAACAATGCATCAAATTTAGTTTTGAATGTATAATCATTTTATCTTCATAGAATACTCACGAAGTCATCATCACCTTTTGTCTCTCAAACTGCCACTTCCATTACCTGATTAATATAAACAAAATCGTTACAGGTATACATATTCTCTAAGTAGGTTCATTGTAAGACAACCTATAACAATTTATAAACTCAATTCACTTGCAGAATATCAAAAATAAAATGATTTTTTGATTTATTATTTAAAATAAAGTTTATTAATTAGTATAATTATTAATAATATTAATTTGCAAATCAAAGTATAACATGCTCTAATAAACTAGATGGCAAAGGAAGAAAAAGGATAGGCATGCAAGTAGAATTCATTTAAAAATGATGATTGCTACATTGATACTCCATACATTTAAGTGTGTTGGGATTAAAATTATATACAATCGATTAACAATAAAATTGATTTATATGACAGGTTTTAAAATAATTAATTATATTTGTGATATAATTAATTTATAATAATATCATGATTTTATAAATTACATCCACCCCCACCCCCCACCCAACTACAACATATAACTCCATTCATAGATCATAGTGTTTACCAGTGATGCAGGATAGTCAGGGACTCGCACGCACGGACGCAATGATTGCTTCGTCATTGTGAACAATGATTTGTTCGCAAAATTCCACAAAACTCATCAACTTAGTGGTTTGAAGTAATTAGGCCAGTTGAGTGAAATATCTGATTTCCATTTTTTTTTTTAATGCCTTGTAGAACATGCAACAGTTAGGATTTTGGCATTTTCACCTTCTGGAACACATTATGTTAAGACGCTTCAAGTTTCTAAAATTTGCCTCCAACACGTCAAGTTGGTGAAGCTCACATAACTTGACAGTCAGAGCTATACGAAAAAATATATTGAATTGCTCCATTGATTGATATGCCTTATGTAATGAGCTGCTCAATATTGGCTAGGTTACGATTATAGCAACTACGTTACACAAGACTATGGTAATTGGTGGGGCACTTCATTTTGCTTTATCTAATGAGTAATATGGCCCCCTCCACTATACTGCTCAGCCAGCAAGTGAAACTGAAGTGAAACCTAAATACTCATGACTGTACATTAACTGTCACCCCATGTTTTACTTGGGTGGTCAGAACTCAGAACCAAGGTCACTAAACCCTAACTTTGTGCTTTCAGCTCAAGGGCCTCTTATTATTTTAGAAAGCCAATGTCCTTACCCTATTTGCCGCCGCCGCCGCCGCTTCAGGCTCACGCCCATCCGTGTTCAATAAATTTCCTGGATGTACAAACAAGATGCCAGAAATGTCAGCACTGAAATTATAGGAAAAGACAAGGTCATTCACAATTCACAAGCCTCTTTCATTTCCCCTCCCAATCAAAACAATAATAATCATAACATGAGAACTTTCTAAAATAGAAAGGGGAGAGGAAGACATTTTGTCCATTATATAGTCATCTTGTTATTGAGTCAAGTCAGAAGACTAGAACCTGCTGGCTTATTCAACGTCCACCCTTGTGAACCATGAAACCCCTGTAACAGAATCAGGGAAATAAAATTAGACTGCAAGGAGAATTTACATTAATCAATGACTGAAACGTTAATTCGTACATGTGGGACGTGCGCAGGAGGATCACCAACAGATACACTTGATGTCTGTGATTGGATATATCCAACTTCTGAAAAGCCGAGCAATTTGCACGTATTTATATAAGAAAATATCACTAGAGATAAACATCCTACCGTGTAACCAAAACAGTACATACAACAAATGGAACCACTCAATATTGAATAGTATAGGAGACAACGAGGACTACAAGCATGAATCCATATCTCTAGTCACATAGGGCGCAAACTCCCACGACAAGATGGGAGCAAGAACTGCCTAATTACCGTACCATACAAAGGTACAAGCAACTCTAAGAATTTCCCCGCAATTTCTGCCAAAACACATGTAGCCCTAGCTAACCTAAAATACACCGAGCATAATTAAATTTTACTTGGAATTGTTTTTATTTGGTACAAAACGATAGGATATTCCACACAATCTACAAATATCCATCTATGAGAGCACATTCTATAAAATGCATTGCAGGACTGAACAACAAAGAGACTGATAGAGGTAGAAGGGAAATAGAGAGAGAGGAATAGTATTTTTCATTCACAAGACACCATTACATCCATAAGACTCTATTTACAGAGAACATAACTAAATGCCCAAAATACCCTTTTATCCCCAATTCCCCTAATTCCCATGTATCAGAGACAATATCATTGTCCTTAGAAAATGCTTTCTTTGAACGCCATGCAGAGGCTAAAATGTTTCCTGAACGTTTTGATGACTCGAAACTCCATATGCCCTGATACTAGAAGTCCGAAAACAAAGTCAACATAACAAATCTTCTTTCAACACCACGATGAAAGAATTCAGACACTTACAGAAGATACAGAGGCTGCTGCATCTGTTGCTGGACCTGGTCGAGAATCTGCACCTGACCTTGTGGCAGCACCTGTTGCGATTGGGGAACTGGCAGGGCAGATAACGCTGGTGGTTGTAACTGAGATTGAGATTGGTGAAAAGTTGGCATTTGCTGTTGTTTTTGCCTTTCAGATAATGTCAACTCCTCTGGTTTCTCCCACTATAAGTTCATTAATGTGAAGATAAATAACATGAATAGCATGAAAAAAGAAACCTGAAGACAACTAAAAAATTCTTACCCGACTTCATGAGTGACACTATTATAATAATACTTGAAGCCCTCAGGAGATATATGCTCTGTCCAATTGCATTTTGAAAGAGCCACGTTCTGGTTTATTGTAGGTGTAGCAGAAGCATATGCGGAAGAAGGAAGATCTGTGGCTGCTGCTGCAGCAGCAGTGGGATTACTGGCCACTGACTGTGGTACAATCATAGGCGATTGAGACTGCATGACAAGAATGCACCAGCACACAATGTTGGTATGAAAAAGTTCTAAAGGTATGGATACCCTCCCTGGTGCACACAGCTAACAGTATATCTAATGTCGAAACACCATTAGCAAGCAGAAATTTCATGAACTGTAAAAGATATGCACGCACCATTCTTATTGGACAACTTTTAAAAGCAAATACTTAAAAGATTGCACTTTAGTCTTATCGTTTTTCTTTCTATCCAATTTTAGTGCCTTCACATGGGTGATCACTGTTTTAGTGCTTCCCACCTCAAGAACTCAAGTGCCTTCGAAATGCGTTTATCCTTTGACTAAATTATGCAATTAATGGAAAAATCACAAATATAAAAATTTTGTTGCAGAACTCCAAAACCTTAATTAAATTTGTATGAATTCATTCAGCAAAACATGCAAGAATATGAAACTTATTCATTAATCATGATCTTAGGAGATGATGACCTAAACTACCTGCTTTTTAGCAGCTTCTGCATTTTGCTGCAATGCTAAATCTTGACAAGATGGCTGCCATCATTTGCACTTGTTGAATCTGGGAACAGGCATGATGAGACGAATGAAAGCTTGCTTGCAAAGTCTGAGTTTGTTGTGACCACATCTGAGCCAACTGAGATGGGGACTGCTGAAGTGGCTGCTGCTGCAACAAGGTTGGCTGAAGCGGTTGCTGCTGCTGCAACAGGTTGGCTGAAGTGGTTGCTGCTGCTGCAACAAGGTAGGCTGAAGTGGCGGCTGCTGCCTGCTGCTGCAACAAGGCAGGAAGTCGCTGTTGGTTTGCAGTATTTACAGCTGTATTAGATTGCAATCTAACATCGAGAGGGCTCCAAGGCATTGCAGCAGATGAAAGATTCTGTTGAGTTTGATGCTGGGACGCTGGTAACTGTCCATTCATGCCAGGCACCTGCAGAATAGGAAGCGGCCCCCTGGACAAAAGGTTGCGGCTGACCAACCTGCCTAACTGATGAAAGAGACATTGATGTCTGTAAGCTGGGCATTGGAGCTTGATGGTACAAATGGAGGGAACAAGGCAGTTCCTGAGACGAAATGCACAGGTATCTGTGAAGATAACATTTGTTGGCTAACAGGAGGAAGTTGTGGAATTTCTGGGTTCAAATTCTGAAAGCAATAATAATAATCATATTACTAATACGTTTCTTGCAGGGAAGGAAGGAACGAAGTCAAATAATCTTATCTACCTGTTGTGACATTGATGACCAAGAGTGCCCTGAAAAGGACCATCCATGGGGGCTCCAAAGCCACTAGCAGGAACACCCTACATTATTTAAGCACTGTAAGCAATAGATGTGACTGATAAATACTTAGTTAAATAAATACATAACCAGTGAGTAATGACTGAATGGCTGTGTCAGCAATAGCGTGTGTATGTGCAGATAGATAGAATTAGCGATTTAACTTCCATCATTATTCTTATCAAATTAGTTTAAAACAATGGTATGTTTATGCTCATACTGTCAGATTAGCTAAGCTGGCTGATGGTCTGCTAATAATAAGCATCAAGAAGTCAAGAAGTAAATGCAAAATTTAAGGGAGAAGATGACCATTGGACATACCCCATTTTCAAGGGAAAGTAAAGAACACATCATTCATGGTCATAGTAGCTTTTAAAGACAAAGATAACCATAAGCATTACATTTAAGATAAAACTTTGCCATATCATCAAGTTCATACTTACTGGATTCATAGGCATTGCAGGGCCACTAGATCTTGGGAGCAGAGGAGGCCTTACACCATAAGGACCAATTAGAGGATGATCCCATATTCAGTGGATGCATTGGACGCCAGCATCAACTTAGGTTCATTAACATATGATGGAGGACTGCAAAATTGACAACAGAACAATACATTGCACTAAATGCCAGCACGAGGGGATGGTGATAAGGGAATCAATCAGAAGACACCAGGTAAACAAAACAATAGAAGGGGAAGTAGGATACCCTGAGTCTGGTGCTTCAAATCTAGGACCAAGTCCTGGACGGGGAAAAGCAGGACCCCTACCCAAAGCAAGCCAAACAACAATTTATGAAACCAAAAATAGAGATCAAGAAATAGCATGCATTCAAAAACATATATAGGACACACACAAAAGGTAAACATGAGGGCAGACTCTGGTGCAGCAACAAACCTAAAAGCATGGACACTGACACCAAAACAAGACAACATTATAGATAACACAACCAAACAAATTATATAATGTCCTTCTGCAATTTAAAATACCTTGTTGTATTAAATATTATAAATCTCCAGTTTAAGGTGTCTGTGCCTTGTAGCAGCAGACTGACTGATATTTATTGCACATAATGGCCAGAGCACAAGCAAAGTAAGACTGAAAAACTCACCTTGAGCACAAAGGAAGAAAAATTTAAAAACATGTTTTTAAGGGGAAAAAAAGGACTTGTTAAGGCAGTAAAAGGTCACAGTCAACAAGACAAACATCAAAGGAATTTAAGCTGAACTCAATTATCTGGAAACAATTTGACTGAGATCAATGAGAATTTAATCTATTATTAGATCCCGTTTAACTTTGCATGACCAATGAGACTTGTTCTGACTTATCTCTATTTCATACCCTACATCAATTTGGGCTGGGCTTGCTTAACCCCTGGATCAGCTAGCCCACAAACCAACCATAATATACTGTGTTCATACTGTCATTAAGATTTAATAAAAAAATTTAAAAAAAAAAAAGACTTGAGCATGACTTCATATTGATATATCATGGGCACGAGCCAACAAAGTCAAATCTGAACGGTCCACATTGGGTTGAATCTAATAGCATTCACATGAATTTTGTTCTTAAGGATAATCTTTAGATATCATACCTTGAGTCTCCTTGCCGAGGTCTCTTTGGATCAGCAAACCGGACAGTTAATGGTTGATCACAACCCTGTCAAGAAAAATAGATGATAAGCACAATGTTTCAACAAGGATAATTTTGCAACAATAAAAATAAAACTTTCTTACTTTCATTGTATAAATTCCGTTAAGAGCATTTATAGCTGCCAGTGCCATATCCCTATGAGAGTATTTAACAAAACAGCGTCCTTCAATCAAGAGGGAAAAATTATATATTACTGTTCGGTATTTCATCTAAGCAAACACACAGGAAAAATCCAAAACTATCAAGCTGAAGGGGACAAAAAGAACAACTGCACCAACCAGTAAGCCATGATTTACGGGCACGACACCCACCCCAACCCAAAATGAGGAAAGAAGAAAAGATAGCAGACATTCACAGGTTTCTGGATAGTGCTAGGGAACAAACCACGGCTTTGCTTCTTCTCATCACGCAGGAGACACACATCTTCCACCTGGCCATATTTTGAGAAAATCTGATACAGTAGACATCATCTATTAGTTTCATGCTCTCAAACTATCAGCAACAGTAAGCACAAAATTATTTTGGAAAGACATTAAACATGCATTCTTAACATTTAATATCATGAAGGCCCATCAATTCCCTTGGGCAAAATTGCCAAAGTTTCCATTTGGCTAGACAAGACAAATAACTGCCCCACTAAAAATACTTGCATGGCAAAGCATATTTGGTGCGTGCAACATACTTCCTCAACTTCCTCTACCGTAGCTTGTTTGTTCAAAGAGCCCACAAATAATTTGTACTCAGTTGCACCTGTTGTATGGGAAAGTTTACAGCAAACGGAACAGTCAATACAAGGAGAAGACTCACATTAAAAGTACTTTTTGATAAATGCATGACTGCCCACATGTTTTGTTAAGGTCATATAGTTGTTCCAACTTTGAACTGATAAGTGAATTTTACTAGAGCTGCAAAACTCTTTGGCAGAAATAGTTTGTCTACCACAATTGGCATCAGATTATATGCACACAAGTAAACTCAAAAACAGACAATTCCAAGTATCTGTACTCTACAGTTCAATAAAAAATGATAGACAAGTTAACATGAACACAGAAGACTTGTTTAATGCTTGTGATAAAGAATGACAACAACATGCTTTTATGCTCTTTCACAGAATTCTAGCCAAAGATTTTTCCAAAATTCCATAAGATTCCTCATGCCCAACTCCCCGTTAGATAATTCTTAGAAGCACTTCAATTTTGTATAAAAAACACAAGTTACAAAGCAAAACAGCATATAGCCATTTGATAATGCATATAGCATACATAAAATAGTAAGAATTTCAAAATATAAGACGCCAATTAGTACGAAAATTTACCAAGACGTTCCTGTTCAGCATCAGCATATCTCACTTGGATTGGACATACACCCTAAAAGGTAATCAAGTTTTAAAAAAACTAAAGAAGAAAAAGAAGAAGAAGAAGAATTTACAAGTAGCATTTAGGATCAAAAGCAAAACAGCTCACTCCAGGAAGAGTATGTTGTTTGTGCAACGCTCTAATTGCCTGATCAGCTTCTTCTGAAGTAGCATACTTAATGAAGCAATAACCTGCAGAAGCAAGAAGTTATATGTTGATTCCATCAATTTTCCATTACCCTTCCCACAGATAGATGTCAATATTAATGAGCCATAAAGTTATTCTTCTCAAGGTTTCATCAAACAAATGAGATCAATTCATCAGACGTATATGTAATAACTATTTCAGTAGGTACCAGCAGAGAAAAATTAACAAGGGGTTACAATAGTAATAGTCAAAGAGAAATCAAAAAATCAGCAAACATTGTAACCACTACCATACAAAGTTTTAAATCAAGCAGAGAGTGTTCTTGCAGAGAATATCCATAAAATTTAACAAAAACAAGCCTTCAGAGATAATTAAAAAAAAAAAAACTTGAATAAGAAATAAAGAGACCAATTTAAAACTCAGACATATCATTCTTTTTGGCAATTACCTTGCGTGAAATCAGTCTTTATAAGTAACAAGTATCTAATTTAACCTTAAGGGCACTAATAATAGCAACAATATATTTGTCATTTTTAAATCCAGCACAGGTTTCAATAAATCATTGTATCAGTCACAAAGAGTAAATAACATCTGATTGGACAATGCTTAATTTATTATTTTTCCTTCACAAATTACTCTCAAATATCCAGAGAAAATTAAGTATAAATGGCTCCCTCAATACATCTGCACACTATGAACCGACTTCTGCTTGCTCTTACTTAAACATATAAAAAATTACCCAAAGTAAAAAGATGCTACCATTTAGTTTCCACCAAGTAGAGCACGATCATTCCAATCCAGGGAAGGATAAGAGGATAATACACATCCAATGCCCAGAATGCATACAAGAATTCACATCTATCAAACAACAGATGGTATAAAGATTGGAAAACAGTTAAAGCTCTAGATCCCAATGGTCTCTGAAGAGTTTAGCATTGAAAGCATCATGAAATAAAGGACTACTAGGTTCCTCGTGCACAAGGTTGCGTAATTTATCCATGCAATCAAACCAAAAAAATGGCACGCATCTAAAGTCCAAACCAGCAAGAATTTTCTTTTCAATAATCAATATCACACTGATGTATCAACAGAAAAATGGTACCTTACGAGTTGTGAGACCACTGTACAATTATCATCCAGGAAAAATTACATCTAGGTCCCACATAAGGAAATTTACTATCAAGAGATTCCATGAAATTCACAAAATGCTCTCAAGTCCCAAATCCTACACATTTATGACTTGACTTAGGTTGTTGATAACTGGGCAACGGCCATTTACAATGGGGCTTGAGAGTTTTATGAATTTCATGGAACCTCTTGGCAATAAAGTCTCTTCTACGGGACCCAGATGTAATTTTCCCTAGCATCTATTGAATAGCAAGAATACTTCATTGATAAATCTCTTATTTCTTTGTCAAGCCAATAATCTAGCTTGACTTCACAACTGTTATTAAAGTATAAAATTGCTGCCTCATTATCACTAACGTGTCACTGACGCTTCAAAATACAGTAAAAGAACAACATGATTATCATTAGATCATTCATGGGAACCCTAAAGAGTGATTTGATCTTAATTGACACCATCACTTTGCAAAGACACAACAAATTACACTATATACGTTACCTTCAATTCCATGAAAGATAAAGACCAGATCCCTAATCTAATTTGACTGAAACTAAATAAGCTTGTAACAAATTTATGTATTTGATCACAACCATTAATCCAACTTTAACATCAAATAAACATAAGTAGCACGCACTGCTGATACACGTCATGGAGACCCAACTAACCATAATGAGTTGTTAGACACTTCAAAACCTCGCATCAAATTTTGTATTCCAACTAAGTAGGCATAAAGTAAAAGGGACGATCAAAATGTCAACATATCCAAAGCTAACTCCATAACCACCACAAATTTCTTGCATATCAGATCTCCAACAGCAAGGAAAGAATCATACATAGGAAATTGGGAAAAAATTGAAATTCATAGAATATACGGCACTGAGACTTATTTAAGGGAGACAATCGACTAGAACAGCTGAACAATTAAAAAACAAAACCAACATAAACTTCAAGTCAAGCTTAGCATCACAAGCTGCAAAAAAGTTAATAGTGCAAAACAGCACCTTCAAACCCTTGAAACTTTTCATATCAATCATCCCTGATCCCACTAACAATATTGACTAGCTAGCAGCAGATTCAACCAAATACTGATAAAATTACTGCCAGAACCCCAAATCAAGAATAAATTATACAAAAATCTTAATTATCCCAAACCATACAACATATGATTTCACATGAATAATCAGGCTGCTATATAGAAGTTGAGACGGGCTCCACTTCTAATGTATCTCCATGTGCAATCACAGACCTATGATCACAAAGGAACTGAACAATTGCTCCAAAGTGGAAAGTAGAAACATTCCATACCACATAGAAACGGAATGTTAAATCCATTATAAGAACAAAAACTTTGGATTGTATCTACTAACATGGGTTTTCTAACAAGAACTTAATACCCATAGACGAAAATCCAACACATGACCAAAAGGTCTGCCATTCATGAAGTAGGAAATGAATCATAACTTGTAAGTTGCCAACAAACACATAGCAAGCTAAAATCAATTACCATCCATATTCAGTCAACCCAACTTCTTACCCATGTAATTTTAAAACTGAAACTGATAGGAACACTCATGTTTGCTACAATATGGGAACGTGAAATCTCCCAAATTACATTGTGATTAATACCATTCAAATGCAATAACCCAAGTTTTTCTCTGTTCCTTCTATAAGCTGACTTTTATATTTTTTACATAAACAAGCTACAGTCAAGGCTACGGGCACTCTCGTTACAATCAGTTGTTGGGTAATGACCCCACCGCTGCATCCACAGTTGCAAGAGCAGGATCTATTGGTCCTCCAATGTCTCATCTGCTATAGAAAGAGAGGTTTACATGTCTTGTCTCCTTCTGCTATGACAGGATGAGGACAAAAAAGGTAGGCTACCAAAACCAACAAGTCTGGACTTGTTGCAAAAGTAAACTGAGATGAAGATGAGCTTAGTCTCTTCCATCAGCCTCTCAATGGACCTGAAATAAGATTCATATGAAGTGCAATAGTCTTGGAATATAAAGATCACAAATACCTTGTTGTTGCCCAGCTTTTCTATCTTTAATCAAAGCAACCTCAAGCACATTTCCATGTTCCTCAAACAAAGGGCGAATCTGACATCAAATAATTGTAACAAAGTATGGTGCATCACAAACACATGATTAAACATTTAACAAGAGAACCAATGATGATAATATGTTAAACAATAACTATCAGATAACCCAAAATCAATGACTCAGAGTGCTAGGAAAACCATTGAAAACTTGAAAAGATTTATGCTGGATGGGATGTGTGCATTTAGAAGTATCACAATAAATTTAACTTTTACCAGACATTAGTTGAAAAGTAAGTAATAATACTGTGCACTTTGTATCATAGATGAATAACTTGACTACAAACCAATGCCCATGCAATTTCTTTTCCTCCCCGCAGAACACCCCACCCAAAAAGACTTAGAGGAGCTTGAATACTAAAAAGTTGCAATATTTCAAAAATATATAGCCCTTTCTTGATAACAAATGTGAAATTATTTTACAAAAAGAACTTCAGCAAACTCGGCAAGCAAATGAGGGAACAAAACAAGGGTTAGATGTGGCTTACATCTTCTTCAGTAGCAGTCCGGGGTACAGATCCAACATAAAGTTTTGCAAAACTTCTACCATCAAAACGATCTAAAAAGATAAAAATACATCAAACACTGATTCTCTTCCACTTCCTCACATGTTGGAGGTCATATAATTAAAATAACTTAAAGGAGGGGGAAATGACTAAGTTTGCAACTAAGGGTGAAATAAAACAGAGCCACTTGTGCATGCGTGCGTATCCATGGTTTGTTTGTTTCACATTTATAACAAGCATTTGTAAAAAGAATAATATATCTTTTTTTTATCATGAGATGGAGAGATGATGTCAAAGTGGACTAACAACTATGAAATCAAACTTTTTTTGGGTTTACATGATATGAAATAAAAACATAGAAGTTAGGATCACATGCTTGAAATATGTGACTAATATGAGAGATAAGCGCATCAAACAACTGTATACTTTGTAAATTAGAACGATCCTAGTATCACACAAATGAGAACATCTGAAAATTCCTTCTAGACCAAGGGGGAAATATGCTAATGGGCTATCAAGATGTCAATCATAGAATGAACATAAAAACTGAAATGCTGGATTATATAATATATATATATATATATAAAGTCAGCTATAAAGCTAAAGGGTCACATAATACTTGTATGACAACTTCACAATAGTAAATAAGCACTCTGATAAAAATAAGAAATACAAAAATAAGCAGAAATAATTATTTTTAGAACTTATATGTACAAAAATAGACCCTTCCAACAATAAAGCCCCTCTTACATATTTAAACATAAAATTATCTTCCACAGTAAAGGGATTCAGAAGATCAACTAATTCAGTATGCTTCCATCACATTTTTAATAATATTATCATTGTGCACATAGTAATACGAATTGCCAATGTAACTGATTCCTTTGACAATAAATCTTTAAGTTTTCCATATATTGCCATGAATATTGCCAGGGGCATCTAAAACTGTAGATACAGATGACTCAGCGATTAAATTATCACTATCAACTTGCACCCCAAAGATTTGCCCCCCTCCCCACTGAAGTAATACAGAGCATGGTAAACGTTTAAGTGAACACACCCCCCCCCCAAAAAAAAAAAAAGAGCTTAAGTTTTTACAGGACAGGAATTACTAGTTCCCCTGCCAGAGGTATAAAACATAAAATTCAAAAGATACACTTGTTATCCGTGGTCCCCCAGTTTAATGACATGCAAAACCGTGATCTAGAGCAAACTTAAGCTCAAGAGACCAGAAAAGCACTTGACTTCTACAGAGAAACGCTTGCAAGTAACTACCAGTAAGTACCTTTTTTTTTAAGAATTACATTAAAGTCCCACACAAGGAAGTTAATTACTGCAAAATTTATTGAGAACTGAACTAAGCTATTTGGCAACTAATTATATTGTTAATATAGCTTAGTTTAGTTGTCAATGAAATTTACAGTAATTAATTTTCTTATGTGAAACTCCATTGTAATTCTCCCTTTTTTTTTGAGAGTGAAAAGGGAATATCATTACTTGGTGAAATGTACAAAAGGCAGCACTGGGAGATCAAAAAGGACCAGTCTGCAGAAGAAAAAAAAATCGGGGGGTTGGGAATTACAAAAGATCAAGAATTAGCTGAAGGGATCAAGAACTAATTAAGATCATTGGCATTAAAAGTAAGTTAAGCCATAGCAAAGGAGTCATTGATGAGACTGATGGCTGTATGAGTTTATTCAGAAAGATATCAAATATAAGTAATTGATATCAATTGTTGATGCGGAAACAGAAAAGGGAAAGCGAAAAACTGCTACCATACAGCGCAGCGAATAAGAAAACTAAACAAGAAATGCCAAATTTAACAAGAAGCAAATGAGCGTTACACTAACCTGGCGACCCTCCACGCCCAGAAAAAGGAAAGCCTCGTTTCTGCCCAGAATGCGGTGGCACAGGATGACTATCAAACCCGAAACCACTAGGACCATAAAGTGGCCGGAACCTACCGCCTCTGCCAGGAGACCGACTTGGCGGACTGTCCAGAGAACGATAGTGACCTTCGGCTCCGGCGGAGCGGAAGTTAGATGGGCCACGGCTGGGGTTTCCATAGGTCAAGGGATCATCGGACGACCATGAGGGACCCCGGGAGTGACGATAGTGAGAGCTTCCAAGGCGGTCTCCTCTGTGCATATCCAGCTTGACCAAGAAAGTGCAATCAACCCTAGTCTTCGGAAGAGCAGAGAGGGAGTCAGGGAAGTAAGGACTGAAAAATTCTGAGGCAAGTGACGGAACAAGATTGAGAATGCTGACAATGTAATTTCAGGAGAAGATGACCAGGAAGACTTGTCAGGAGTTACTTTGAAATTGGACGTAACGAAAACGGAATTAGCAGTAACACGTCGTTCTCGAGTTTCGGGTGTTTTCCATGATGTCGTTTCGTGGAGTTCAACCAGACGTCATTGTCGTACACAACCGGACACTGGCCGTTTGGTTCGGGAAGACCGGACAAGTGAAAACCCAAAATTTGGTGCCCGAAGGAACGATCCCATAGTTGAATTAATTTTCTGGCTGACCATAATTGAATTAATTGGTTGATGTCATGAATATTAAAATATTATTTAGATATTCATTAAATATTTACGTGAATTTCATCATAATTTTTTATATTTAATGGATAAAAATATCATAATTTTTTAAAAAAATTATTCTATTGTTATAATTTTTACATAAATTACTCATTCCGTTAAAAAATATAAGGTATTTTTAATTGAATTTTACTCGCCAATAAAATAATTACTTGTCTTTAAACTAACTCCATCTTTTTATATTTAACTTGATTAAACACCCTAAAAAATAAAGTAACATATTCAATAGAGACATTTTTTAAAAAAAATTTAATAATTACACATTAAAAGACTTAAAATGTCTTAAATTTTTTGACATTCAACTCCTTAAAAAATATCTTATATTTTTAAGTGAAGGGAGTATAAAAATTCTAATTATTTTTTGACCAACTATAAAGTCTAATTATTAAAAAAATGTGGAAATAAGTATATGAATAAAAATAATTTTTAGTATGTTATTCCATCATTATATAATTGGATTATATAAAATTTAACTATTCAGGAAATAAATTACTATAAAATGTAATTGATTCATGTTAATTTGAACTTGAATATAGCAAAATTTAATTATCTGCTATGTTGGATTTCTATCCCATATCGTATATTTGTTAAATATATAATCTAGACAAAAATATTAAAGATTAAGGACTTGCTTGATGTCTGTTTTTAAAAAATGGTTTATGTCTTAAAAAAGATTATTTAAATAAGTCTTTTGAATTTAAATTTTTTAAAACTACTTTTCTATTTTTAAAAATTCGTGACAATATAAACTGTTTATACAGGTTCTGGAGGACTGTCAAGCTTTGCGGCATTTGTTGTTTGTTCTTCTACAGAATCCATCATGGCTGCCTTTTGTAGTAAATTTCGAAAAGTAAAGTCATGGATTCTAGTTTGTACTTTGAGGGTTTTCACCTTCGTACTGTCATTATGTCGTGTGAATGGGAACAATGTGGATGTTACTGTAAAATTGTTGAATGCTGAAATAATTTGGCAGCTTGTAAAATTGTAAATCTTTTTTATAGTAATGAACAAATATTTTTAGTTGAATGTTTGGACTGTAGGTAAAACTTCAGTTTACTTGTAGTATGATTGTATTGCTAGAGTTTCGCTTGCAGTTTGTTTCTATTTCTTAATTTAGTGACAATTGAAATTAAATTCAGAGAAATCTTTATTTTTTTCGTGGATCATAAATAATACATATAGTTATTAGTTAGTTGGTGTCTAGTACCTATTTTTTTTAAAAAAAAAATTAAGGGAGGAAAAGTAAGCAATATACTAGTGTCATGCTGAAGAACAAGAGCTATATCAAGGGTTGGGAACAAAACATGATGAAAACCAACAACACAGGACAAGGCCTGTTTAGCAAGCTTATTAGCAGCTTCATTAGCATTGCTTGAGATATTATGAACTTCCATGGACATGATGAAAACCAATAGCCCAGACAATAAGTGTGGCTGTAGCAAGTACATGCATGTATATATTGGCTGCGATGAGTTGGTTATTATACCTTGCGTCGTGGCAGGCATGCCATATGCCACGACGAGTATGTATGTTTATAGTTGGTCATGGTGAAGATATTTTTAGCCGCAATAAATTGGTACAAATTCTTAAAATTAGTGTTCTATCTCTAGCAATCCATGCTCAATGCTAGGCAGTGTGTTCCATATTTTTGCATGATTTCAAATACTTTGTTTTTTAAAAAATATTATTTTTATCTTTTCAAATATTTTTAGGATCTCAATATTGAGGTTGACCTTTTTTTATGTCATTAGACTTCAAAACCATGGTGACCCTTAAGGTTAAGGGTTATTAATTTATAGAGTTAACTAGAGTTAATGATGGAGGTCATTACATCAATCACATGATTAATTGCATTGCATGCATAATAACATTTTAGAACTAATTACTTAGACTTTTAAGTCTTATTTTTTGTGGTTAACATTTTTATAAGAGAGGGTTCAGCCAGATGATCACTGGCTTAGTTGGTGGTGTGTGGGACACCATTATATTTGCCTAGACGAGGTTTATTTAAGTGGTCCAAAACCCAGTAATGGCTCTAGTTTGCAATTTGTAAGGGGATTTGTTTGGAAATGTGGTTTTGTGACCCAATATGGGTTTATATGGATAAATTTGTCATATGGATGTATTTTTATGTCAAACTAAAACTATTAATTAGATTATATTATAAGCTTCATAAGGATATTAGAATCACCCAATTTGGACGTATGTGAGATAAATTATGCTTTTTTAAAGATTAAACTTTATGTTCATTATAATATGGGCAAACTGAGTTGGTTGTGGAAAATGCGTCACTTTTCCAAATTTATCCTAGTTTAAATTTTTAGTTGCAAGACAACCCTTTGTACCCTTATACCCATATTTAATGATGTTTCAAGACCATTTTACCCATGATAACCATCTTTCAATATATTTTGTGATTTGAGGAGATTTTTGGGTTGTATTATTGTAAGCTATTGTATTATTTCAAGATCTCGTTTAACATGCTTTTGTTAATTAAAAAACTTTTAAATTACTATGGTGGGTTTTATTTACTAAGTTAAATTTTTCTTGCCATGATAGTCAATTTGAACTTGATTTCAATAATTAAGAAAAATTATTTCCTACTATGGAAATAGTTTATAAACTTAGTTTTATTCTTTTTACTATAGTAGATTTTTAAAAAGAAATATTGTTATTTTTTATTATTATGGTAGATCTTTCTCTACCATGATAGAGTTTTGATTAATTGATTTAATTCTTAATTATCACGGTGAACATTTTTCTATTATGATAGAGTTAATAATAAGGATTTGGAAAAGCAAAGCCTTACACCAAGCCATTTCAAGGCCTTACATGCAAGCCCACACTTCATAATTCAACAAATCTCCACCATTTTATACTATACATGAAGCCGGCTTTGAAACCACCATCCAAATCTCAAAAAAAGCCTCTACATCCTATGATGTTTTTGGCCTTAAAGAAAGCACCATCCACATTAAGCTAGTCAATCATCAGTCTGTGAAGTTTAGCTGCCATTATGAATGAGGCATTCTTTTCACCTTGATAAGAGGATATTTTATACATATTTAGATATTATTTATATTCTTATATTGATTATTTAAAGTGTGAATTGAAGGTAAAATAAGGTATAATACCCTGTTTAGAGATTTTGATATATTTTCAAGATAAGGAGACATGATAGCATGAAAAAAGCCTTAAAACATGAAGCTTGGAGTCAAAGACAAAGGAAGCAAGCCAAAAATAACTCATCCGTGCTTAGACAAAGTGATTTTTTTTTTATAATTTAAAGTTTTGTCCACTTGCAGACGAAAATCCTAACCACATGCGAATGAGAGGAAAAATCACAAAAAAAAATTAATTAGATATCATCATATTTAACAAGATAAGATGTGATTTGGATTGATTATAAGCATATGGGAGTTGAATTTATTATAAAATAATATCCCAAAAGCCTCTTAACACATTTAATCTCAAATCTGAAGGCTAAGAGGCACACTACAGAGTCCAAGGAAGTCTTCTAAGCTAGGAACTTTATCTCTTCTTTTATTCTTTAGAATCTGTTCATGTTTTATATTTGGGATTGTAGCTTTAACTTTAGAAGTTCTTACTAAACTCCTAGTCAAGAGAGGGAGTAACCTTAATCGGATGAGTTTTATTATTTAGTTGGTTTTAATTATTTTTCTTGTTAAATAATAATTTTTGTCTATGAAATTTATGTTTGCTTTTATATTTATCTCTCTGATTTTAATTACTTTTTATATATATGGTTAGCATATAAATTGTTTGTGGGTAGTTTGATGAATTAAAAGGTGAAAATTTTACCCCAAACATAGAGAGATAAACACAAATAATTAAATTATAAATATTTTAAAAGTTTGTGGTGACTTAAATTGTAGCTTCTTGGTTTAGTTAGATAATAGAATTTAGCAAAAGCTAGATTTAACTCTAATGAAAATTCAATCTAATATACTGAAAGATAATTACGACATCTTAGGAACGATTGATACCATAAAAGAAAGGAAGATAATTAACTAAATTAAGATAATCTATTATGATAGGTGAATCATGATCCTTAGTGCTTATCTGATTGGTCGGTTTCATCACTTTCATTGATTTTCTTATTTGTTTGCTTTATTTAATTTTTAAATATTTTCCAAAAAAATCCTTATTTGTTTTATTAAATAATAAAAGATTACTATCTTCCTTTGGGTTTAACTCAAAATACACCAAATTTATTATTACATCAATTTTGTGCACTTGCGAAGTTGATCACACCTGCACATAGTACCTTTAAATTTGCCACAACAATCTATAAAAGTATTAATAATAACCAAGGTTTGTGCAATAACGATTGTGTTTGCTATAGCTCTATCTTAAAATATTTTCTCATTACACCTTCTCCAAATAAACTAGCAAGCAATTAAGAAGTATGAACCCAAGGGAAGTTAGTGTCTAATACTATTAAAGAATAAGATGAAATATCATCTGAGTTGGGAAATAATTTAGCCTTTGTAATTTACCTACTACCGTTATATGTTATAATTACCTTTTACATGAACACAATTATCCCTTTTTAATTCTATCGTTCAATATCTTAAAAAACTTGAGGATATTATCACCACCCATTTAAACTAATATAAATCATCAATATGTGGGACTGTTATTACTAATGATGATCTTACGGGTATCTCGAAGATACATTTAATATATTTATTTAATGTGATTATATATCCTAAACCTT